ACATGGGAAAAGTTATCTCGATAAGAGTCAGAAATTTCAATAACGATAAATGTTTGATTTCTTGCCCAGCCCTAATTACAGTAGTAGTGACACTGACTTAAAAAATGACCTTGGAAACAAATACCGGCCTCTCGAGTTTTGTTGACTCATTCGTCCACCTCTACCTCCTCCCTAAGCAAACTTTACTGGGAATGGTGCCGTCACAGTTGCTGTTGTCATACGTGCTTCGATAGTCTGTAGTTTGTTTGTTTTCCATCAGTCCTTGGAGAGTTTTTATTAAAGAAACATATTGGACAGGATGGACTTCAAGGCTTATTCTAAACCTTCCTTCCTTTTCTGGAAAATGTCTAAATGAGAGCATCTGTAACTATAATTACTGTTCAGTCAAGCTTTGTTTCATAGATTTGCTGTAGACAAACTTACAAGCAGAATGTGGAGGTTCTGATTAGGTATAAAATTGACAAAGCATGTCAATTACACATGAAATATTTATTTGATCAGAGGGTAATCAGTTTTTAGATTCCATGTCATGTGCCAATAAAGCATTTCATTTGGTGTTCTTTAGAGAAAAGGCTATTTTACAACTGTTAAAAAAAATCACTTTATTTCCTGGAAGAATTATTTTAAGCCTCATCTGTCCAGATTAGATTTCCCCCCAGTAGTTATTCTTCACTAAGGGGCATGAGTACCATTTCTGCTGGTATTCCCCAGATTTCAATCCATACCACATCCAAGGGACACTCTACAGCAATCTCAATTTTATTGCACCTTTTTCTCCAAGATGAAATGTTTCAATTTCCTCTGAAGGAAACTTAGAAAGTGAAGAAATGGGAATCCAGCCAAGCTGCCAGCTCTGAAATATCTCTCCCCCTTCAGTAATCGTCCCACAATCTTTCCCATCATAAAAACCAGGAGCAATATATAATGTATTGAATGGCAATGGGAGCAGATAAGGCACTATTATTGCCATCCAACAATGGCCAATATCTGAATGACTGATAGTGATTTGATGCACAGATTGAATCTGTGGTCTCATTATGAGTTTGAAAAGTCTCCAGGAAGGCAACATGATTGGGTATTTGGATAGTCAGATGCATCTCAGCTGCTTATAGTTACTGTAAAACCTATAGAAGGTTGTAGAAGCTGTGTTGTTATTAAACTTTACCCTTATTTGGCATCTCTTCTTTAATTTTATAAAAAGCTGTTATTTTTTTCTATAAATACTTTTCAAATTTTTGTTCCAGTCCGCCTCTCTGGTCATGAGCTTTGGGCAATGACTTAAAGAACAAGGTCGTGAATAAAAGCGACTGAAATGAGTTTCCATCTTAGGATGGCTGGCCTCAGCTTCAAATCTGATTTACCCTTCTCCATCTGCATAGGTATGGAGATACACAATATAATGATGTGTTGATGCAAGGCTTCTGCAGAAGGCCCACATAGGGTGACCCCTAATCCACACCAGAGGCATCAGCAGCATGAAACAACAGTGGAATGTTGGTGCTTCAAATCCATTTTAGTCTAAAGAGTTGATCCAAACTGGTCGAGACACAGAAAATTTTATGTGCGTCCAAGAAGCGGCTTACTGCGCCGCTTAAGATTGGAATGGATTCTATTTTTGCCACGAGCCGCTTCTGGAACGCATCAACTTCCTCACTTAACATTTGGCTAGACAGGAAATCAGACATGGTATCAGTGTAAAATTCTGGTAATTTTCAAAAGAAGACAATTGCAGAGATGCTATTTCATATCTTTGTAAATGATGTCAATGCATGTGACCTAACGGCTCATTTGCTCCCGGCATCTTTGGAGAAGTGTAACGGTGTTCCATTTTTGGTTCTTTTTTAAACACAGATAAGGTTTCTCTTTACCTTGCTGATGGTTTCGTTTGCAGCTGCAAACATCTTCAGAGCTGACGCTGATGGTGGCGTCACTTCCTAATCTGTTTATCTGGTGTTTTTCATGTCTTTAATCCTGACAGTGGAGAACAACAACATTTTATATAACGTCAAACAGTTATGTCAAGCGTGATCTCCCTCTTATTCTTGGTTTAATAGTGGATGGCACAAACAAACCATGAACTCTTAAGTATCAAGGGATTTTGTGATGTTGTGAGTCCAGTGAGAAGGATGGCAGTGATACCACATCACGTCTTAGATGGTGTGGATTGGTGCGCCACGAAGCATGCGAGTAAACCATCCCGCTGCTATTCTGTGCCACTGATAACTCCAGTATGGATTTGGGGTGATGAAGACATGCCCAGTTAGAGATGGGGTGAGGAGCTTGGACATTCAGAGAGACTCAGTTTCTCCATGTTGACAGTCGCTAGCTGAGTTGGACCATTTGGTCAGAATACCTCCTGGACACCTCCCAGGGGAAGTGTTCAGGGCATGTCCCCCATCTACCCAAGACATGCTAGAGGGACTTTGCTTTGGCCAGGAAACCAGTGAAGCTGTTTAGGGTTGGGTACCCAATAGAGGTGCTGAAAAAAATCGATTCAAGTCTGAATCGGAATTCTTATTTATAAAGATTCAGAATCGATTCCAAGAACTCAAATGTTTGGCATGGTACAGGTTTGTGATGCACTTTTGTCTGTTTTTTTTTATCTTTGCTAGGAGAGTTAGTACTCCGTTTACTTTTGTGGTCCCATAAATTGAGATGATGTATTTTTGAATCTGCTGATAAGAGGGCACTTGAATGTATTTTTTTTCCATACTCAGAAATTTGAGATGTTCTCATATTTATTTTCTAAGTTGATAAGTGAGTACTCAGGATTACTCATGTGTTTATTTGAAGTTATTGATAAATGAGAGAAAACATTTTCCTTTGTAAGAAATCTGAGGCTCTTTTTTTTAAACAGGTTGAGGACACAAACGTTAAACTTGTTTCCACACATACTTAAAAAGTATTTGACCGTATTACTTTAAAAGCTACTGTTAGGTAACTAAAGATTTGTTATATTTTACAAGGTAAGCAAAAATAAACGTTGCCTTTTGGTCAAAAGATTATTTCTGGTTACAGTTTTAGAATCACTTTATTTTACTTTGTAAATTAGCTTTTTTTTGAGCATGACCAGTTTAAAGTCAAATAAAAATGTCCCATAGCTTTAACTAACTTGTACAACAAAGTAGTTAATCGTGGAACTGACACCCTTTGTTAATATTGATTGTGAATCGGTTTAAATCGAGAATCGATTCTGAATCAAATCGGGACCCCGAGAATCAGAATCAAATCAAATCGTGAGTTGCTCTAAGATTCACATCCCTAGTACCCAAATTCCATCCAGTTTGCGTGAGAAGTAAATGTCAAAAATAAAATACTTTGACTGCATTTTGTGGCACCTCTGGTTTTACCTTATTTATACAGTATGTCTATCCATCCATTCATCTCAGTTGAGAGCTAGAGATGTCTAAATGTCCCACAGGCACTTTTTATTATATACATTTATAATGAATGTAAAATAATTTTAATTCAATCTAGTGGTGGCTCACATCTTATCATACACAATATTACAAGCAATTATTTCTTGTCCAGGGGAAAAAAATCTATTATCAGAATCAGAGGGGTGTTATTTCCATATGTGCGAGAATCACAACATCAGGAAATTGCTGCCGTACTTGGTGCAAGAAGAAATAAATGATAAGCAAAAATTAGAATTAAGAAATAAACACAATGAAATCATCATCATAATAATAATAATAATAATAATATAGGGAGAACATTATTTGAGAAGCAGCTACTTCATATAAGTCAGTGTAGGCACTGGTCGGAGTGGATCAGTTCAGGTGTAAACACAACACTAGGGTCATGTGACTGGAACAAAGCAGCTTGAGTGGGCAGTTCTACGATTGTCGTTTATGAGTCCGACCTTAGAGGAAGAAACTGTTTTTGTGGCGAGAGGTTCTGGTCTGAATGTATCTGAGCCTCCTATCAGATGGGAGCGAGTCGAAGAGACTGTGTCCAAGTTGAAACGGGTCTGCTGTGATCCGACCTGCACGCATGTTAAGCTAAATTCATGATGTAATTGTATCTACTGAGCGTTACACTCACGTGGGTAATTGTACTATGGAGTTATTGGATATTAGGGCAAACATGGCTGGAATCTAACAGTACTGACTCATATCAGCGATCATATTGGTTGTTTTATGAGTAGTATTTTTGGGCTATTGTTGGAGGTAATCCACACCTTACAAACTCTTTACCTTTTCAACAGAATCACTCGTAATGGAGCATTTACTAGCATAACAAAGTGGCCAAAAACCAAACCAAGATAGAGTTAACTATCCAAACCTTTACAACAGGTTTGAGGCCATCTGGCTTCTCCGGCTCTCTGTAGATGTTTCCTGACTACACGGGGGAGGGGTTTGGCCCGTCTTTCTGCACAAGTAGGATAATCAGAACTCCATTGGCAGCCACGGTGAAAAGGCTTGCTGAAATATGAATGAACATTCTCAAATAATTAAAAAACAGGAAGCCAAATGCTAAGTTTAGAGCAGAACATTGACCCAGAGGTTTTCTTATTGAGCAGACTTGTGAGAATACATGTAATGACCGCTTAGAGACGGAGCAAGCTAGTTGCTAGCATAGCGGCTAATCGCTAGCATAGCGGCAAGCTGAGTTATATCGATATAAAGTCATCTTGTTTATTGTTTAAAATTATATCAATATTTTAAACATACCGATACATTGCCCAGCCCTAGATTAGAGTAGAATAGAATTGACTTTATTAATCCCACAGTGGGGAAATTCACAAGGGGTTGTTTTCCTCTCCACTGTCACTACGTACTTTCTTAGTATAAGGATTCCTGTCAAGTCACTGACACAGCAAGTTAGTGACTCACTTTCCTTATATAGGAAACTTTAAACTATTTGGCCTATGGAACTGGACTCAATTGGAATGTTTACTTTGTGGTGTCTTGAAACGACTCGTTGTGATTTGGTGCTGTATAAATACAAAGATTTGAATATATATGTTTATAAAATTCCCATCTCACCCTCCGCAGGCGGTCTCATCCTTCCAAACTCGGGTCCTCTACCAGCGGCTGTCCTCTGTTGTTTGTCCACCATCACAATGTCTGGTTGGTTCGCCATCACCACTTTGTTTGGAAGTCCCACAGGATCTTGGCTCGCTCTCTATATATGTGGCTATTTTGGCACTTATTTATAATCATTTTTTAACATTTACAGATCAGTTTTGAGTCAGCACATGTCACATCATGATGCATTGATTAAATGGTGAGTTGGCACACCCCTACTAGGTTTATGGCTCCTGGCATCTCTTGTCATTGGACCATTAATACGTCAGTCTTTGAAACAGCATCCAGGTCATATGTGGAATTGGAAATAACATGCTAGTACTTACATTTATTATTATAAAAGTCTAATTAGTGAATAGCATCTACGCATACTTTTTGTTTTATATTATTTCATCTCTACATGTGGCTCTTTGGTTTTATTCTTAGCAAACACAATGTGGCTAAGTGACTGCTGTGAGTCCACGCTGAAGACAGAACATACCATTTTTGGGAGTTCCCTTTGACTTTTAATGCTAATGTCAGCCTGTTATCTGAACAGTGATGTAACAGACTCTGAGTCACTCATTTGCTGCTGCTTGGAAAAACATTTTTAGCTTCCCAGTCATCTTGTGCCTGAAGGAACGGTTCTCCTCCAGCAGCGAGACGTTTCTGCTGAGCAGGAACAGGATTGTTACCCCGAGGCAGGAAAATGCCACAATCACATTGTCAGCACTCAAACAACCCAGAGCCACTTTTTGCTTTGCAAATTTGCAACCCCGCTTCACTCCAATGCAAACCAGCTTTTTCCAACCCAGTCAGCCAAACATTAATCAGCCCATCTGTGCTTGTTGCATGGTAGATCTCAGCCAAATGCACAAAATAAAATATTCATCTGACTATCAATGATCTTTTTATTATTTCACAGATTTGTACCAATTTAAATTTCTTCAAATATTTTACATAAAGTAGAAAAAAGGCTCCCGTTAAAACTGAGAATACATGCAGACATTTAAAAAAGGTTGAGAATTCAGTTAAAACACTGAACTTCACTAAAGTGATTAACTAAAAATTAGAAAATGACATTGCAATAAAATATAGAGTAAACCATGACAAATTTATCGATACTATTACATATATTTTTTTGCATTTTGAAACAGAAAATGACTGCATTTATTTTAGAGATGCGCTGAACAGTTTTCTAAACAGATTCTGATTTTCAGTGTTTGTAAAGGTCTGGTCTGCCATTTTCTCTTTTTTTACAATTTATATATTTTATCTAAAAAGTCTACGGGTTGACAGCCTTTAATAAAGTTTTTCTTTCATCATTAAATTTAAGCAAGTTTCTAAGGCCTATTAAACACCAAAAACCTATTGTACAGATGTTTTTGTTTTGACTAAAATCCGACACATAGGGCTGGATAATATTGAGATTCAAACTAGTGCTGCCACGATAAGTTGATTCGCCAAGACAACGTTGACAAAACAATTGACTATAAATTTAATAATCAACGTCTAGTCTATGAGCCTTTTTTAAATCTTGTCTGCTGTGGCACCTTTGGTGGCTGCTTTCTGCTCAAGGCACATGCGCAAAAGGCGGCCTTTGATTTGAATCAGCCTTTGAATCTAAATCACCAGAGAAAGAAGACATCATCAAAAGTTGGAGTATTTTACAAAGACAAAAGAGAAGCAAGTAGAGTGCCAAATCTGCTAAGTGAAACTCTACTTTCACGGGAGCACATTGGCAATGCACAAGCACCTTAAAGGGAAGCACGTCATGGCGGAGGACAGAGAGTCGCCCCGTAAGCTAATAAGCTCTCGTTCGCTGCTAACATCAACAGAGAGTTACTTGTATTCATAGGTGTAGCAATAGCTGTAGTGATGGAGATTTTATTACCTTTAGAACCTGTATGTATGTCACGTATTTGCTCTAACGTTACAAACGCTAAGACTTATTTTATCCCGCTACGTTACGCGCTCCTCCTCTTCAATGGACGAGTTTGTTACAAAGCCTAAATTGAATATTTTATCTGGATACATTAATGACCACAAATTATGTTTGTATAGTATTTAATTTTGGTTTTAGGTGCCTACCTCCATTTGATTGTAGACTTGCATTAACAAAGTTGTTTGATAAGCTATCATCTTGTCTTTATTATGAGATGGCACATAACTGATCACACTTCAATATAAGTTAATGACGGGTATATTAGAGCATCTTGGTGCAATAAGCTATACTGTTATGCATGACATGGTTATTTGACCAATCGTCAAAAAACTGGCGATTAGTCGACTATTAAAGTGGTTGTTTATGACAGCCCAGACAAGCTGATCCAGTAAAGTTTCTATCAACACACCACATACATGTCTGCTCACTTGTCACTTTATGGGTATACCTGTCCAACTGCTTGTAACACAAACTACTAATTAGCCAATCACATGGTGGCAAACAAGCTTCAGAATGGGGAGGATAGGTGATTTGTGACTTTGAACATGGCATGGTTGTTGGTGCCAGACAGCCAAGCTAGTCTGAGTATTTCATAAACTGCAGATCTTCTAGGATTGTCACACACAACCATTTCTAGGGTTTATGGAGAATGGTCCGAAAAAGGGAAAACATCCTGTGAGCAGCAGTTCTGTGGGCGAAAATGACTTGTTGACGTCAGAGGTCAGAGAACAATGGCCAGACTGGTCCGAGCTGATAGAAAGGCAACAGTAACTCAATTAACCACTCGTTACAACCAAGGTATGCAGAAGAACATCTCTGAACGCACAACACGTCAAACCTCGAGGGAGATAGCTACAGCAGAAGACCACACCTAGTGCCACTCCTGTCAGCCAAGAACAGGAAACTTAGGCTACAAATCACACAGGCTCACCAAAATTGGACAATAGAAGATTGGAAAAATGTTGCCTGATCTGATGAGTCTTGATTTCTAAAGCTAAAAATTATATATATATATATAGATATAGATAGTTATATATATTAGGGCCGGGATTTTAACGCGTTAATTTGATTAATTAATTAGAAAAAGATGACGCGTTAAAAAAAATTAACGCATTTAATCACAGCTTGCATTTCGAGAAAGGCGGAACCTTTGTTATTGCACGATTTCCTCGTAGATCGAATATCACTGACGCACACAACAATGCACAGTGCTAATGACTACTAAAACAGAATAAAAACAGAAAGAAGTTGCCTTGCTTGAACTGATGCAGGATTTAGGAAACACGTCCGCCTCTTTTCTTAACTTGGAAAAAGAAATTCTAGACAACAACGAAATCCGTATCGCGGACATTTTTCAGAGATCGTCTCTGCTGCAGCTGCCCGGTGGCACCGGAAACTTTGCAAAAGTTGCGGAAGCTATATTTTGCGGTAAGCTATATTTTTAACATTTACGTAACATCTGTGCAGCGCTGAAAGCACCAGACAGAATAATTCTTTGCCCTAATAATAGTTTATGAAAGTAGTCAGACAAACGAGAGGCCACTGGCTGCCGCTGGGAGAACGCTCCCTTTTCTCAGTACTCTGTAAACAATCACAAGCAATGTGTCTTAAAGTTGAAAACAGAAGTTTAAGTTAAAACAGAAACACTCTAAAAATGCGATTAATTAAGATTAATTAATTACAACGCCTCTAATTAATTAGTTTAAATTTTTTAAGGGTCTCCCATGACAAATTGGTCTTAGGTGAAGGGTGAGACAAAGAACGGTTCGAAGGATCTTTCATGGCGGTTAAAACGAAGAGTCGGAGTACCCGGCCCGGAGGGTTACCGGGGTCCCACCCTGGAGCCAGGCCTGGGGTTGGGGCCCGTGAGCGAGCGCCTGGTGGCCGGGCTGTCGCCCATGGGGCCCGGCCAGGCCCAGCCCGAACCGGATACATGGGCTCGTCCAACTGTGGACCCACCACCCGCAGGAGGAACATGAAGGGTCCGGTGCAATGCGAATCGGGTGGCAGACCAAGGCGGGAGACTTGGCGGTCCAATCCCCGGACAAGAAAACTAGTTTTGGGGACATGGAACGTCACCTCGCTGGCGGGGAAGGAGCCGGAGCTTGTGGCAGAGGTTGAGCGGTACCGGCTAGATATAGTCGGACTCACCTCGACACATTGCATTGGCTCTGGAACCCGAGACCTGGAGAGGGGTTGGACACTCTACTTTGCTGGAGTTGCTCCGGGTGAGAGGCGGAGGGCTGGGGTTGGCTTTTTGTTAGCCCCGAGACTCTCTGCCTGTGTGTTGGGGTTTACCCCGGGGGACAAGAGGGTAGCTTCCTTGCGCCTTCGGGTCGGGGAACGGGTCCTGACTGTTGTTTGTGCTTATGGGCCAAATATCAGTTCAGAGTACCCACCCTTTTTGGAGTCCCTGGGACGAGTGCTAGATAGTGCTCCATCAGGGGACTCCATTGTCCTGCTGGGGGACTTCAATGCTCACGTGGGCAATGACAGCTTGACCTGGAGGGGTGTGATTGGGAGGAACGGCCCACCTAATCTGAACTCGAGCGGTGTTTTGTTATTGGACTTCTGTGCAAGCCGCAGTTTGGCCATAACGAACACCATGTTCGAACATAAGGATGCCCACCGGTACACTTGGTACCAGGGCAGCCTAGGTCACAGGTCGATGATAGATTTTGTAGTCGTATCATCTGACCTGCGGCCGTATGTTTTGGACACCCGAGTGAAGAGAGGGGCGGAGCTGTCAACTGATCACCACCTGGTGGTGAGTTGGATCAGATGGCAAGGGAACATGCCGCGTAGACCTGGCAGACCCAAACGCATAGTGAGGGTCTGCTGGTAACACCTGGCAGAAGAACCTGTCAAGACGGTCTTCAACTCCCACCTCCGGCAGAGCTTTGACCACGTCCCGAGAGCAGTGGGGGACATTGAGTCCGAGTGGGCCTTGTTCCACTCTGCGATTGTCGAGGCGGCTGTTGCTAGCTGTGGTCGTAAGGTGGCCGGTGCCAGTCGTGGTGGCAACCCCGTACCCGCTGGTGGACACCAGAGGTTCGGGGAGCCGTCAGGCTGAAGAAGGAGGCCTACAGGGCGTGGCTGGTCTGTGGGTCTCCGGAGGCAGCAGACAGGTACCGGATAGCCAAGCGGAGTGCAGCAGTGGCAGTTGCCGAGGCAAAATCTCGGGCGTGGGAGGAGTTTGGTGAGGCCATGGAGAAAGACTATCGATCGGCTCCAAAGAGGTTCTGGCAAACTGTCCGGCGCCTCAGGAGAGGAAG